GCGCCGAGTCTTTGGTTCGTAAAGTCACTAGAGCAGGATATTACTGGGATAGCATGGAAAAGGATACTAAGGAATTTGTCAAAAAATGTGATAAGTGCCAACGGTTTGCACCGATGATCCATCAGCCTGGGGAACAACTCCACTCGGTCCTATCCCCGTGGCTTTTCATGAAATGGGGAATGGACATAGTCAGCCCACTACCAACGGCCCAAGGTAAGGCTAAATTTATTTTGTTTATGACTGATTATTTTTCTAAATGGGTGGAAGCACAGGCCTTCGAGAAGGTCAGAGAAAAAGAAGTTATTGACTTCATCTGGGACCACATCATATGCCGGTTCTTGATACCTGCCGAGATTGTGTGTGACAATGGAAAATAATTCATCGGCAGCAAGGTGGCGGAAATCCTCGAAGCACATAAAATAAAGAGGATCTTGTCAACACCGTACCAACCAACTGGTAATGGACAGGCCGAGTCCACAAACAAAACTATCACTCAAAACCTAAAGAAAAGGTTGGACGATGCAAAGGGAAAATGGAGAGAAGTTCTACCCGAGGTCCTTTGGGCGTATCGAACAACCTCGAAGTCTAGCACGGGGGCTACTCCATTTTCTTTAGTATATGGCTCCGAGGCCCATATCCATGTCGAGGTCGGAGAACCCAGCGCCATGTTTCGACATGCATCGGAGGAGTCAAATCACGAGACTATGAATACTAGCCTCGAGCTATTAGATGGAAAACGAGAGGCGGCACTTGTTCGGATGGCAGCGCAGAAACAAAGAATCGAGAGATACTACAATAGAAGGACCAATCTTCGACACTTTGGAATCGGGGACTTAGTTCTACGAAAATTCACCCGCAATACTCGAGACCTGAATGAAGGGAAACTAGGCCCGAATTGGGAAGGATCGTACTGAGTCCTCAGAATTATCGGTAAAGGATCTTACAAACTTAGCACAATGGAAGGCGAACAACTGCCAAACAATTGGAACGTATCACTACTCAAGCGATACTATTGCTAAGGTATGACTTTCTCTTTTCGTCCATTTGAATTTGAAACTAACCCATTGCAGGTGTTCGATCGAAGCTATCTAAGGCACCTTTTACACGAAGGCCTTAGGTTTTAAAGCATGCGTTGAACTCTTTTTCCCTAAGATCGGATTTTGTCCCAAATGGGTTTTGCCGGCGAGGTTTTTAACGAGGCAACAACTATATGCTACCTAAGGAGAACTGAACAGTATCCAAGGCTTCTTTTCAATAAACCTCGAGTACTGGGGGGCATCACCTTCAGAGGTCATATTTTCGAGGAAAATACTTCACGCCTAAGAGGGCCTCGATAGGAGAGCTTTGTAATGGGCCAAACGGTCAGATGAACCGTGTCCAAATAGAATAGTCGAGCCTCGACGGAAAAACATGCACGCATGTATGAATTATTCAAAGAAGCATTCCTTCTATATCAAAACACTTTGTGTCTCAAAGAAGTCTACTATTATACGAGCTCTACACTTACAATTCTATGAGAAACGGCCCAAGGGCCGAAACGCAAATACACCCCCAATATTCTGGGACTGTCATCGACAGTCAACACATTCGAGTCACCAAAAACTCGAACTCATAAGACCTCAAAGAGGCATCCCCTCGATATAAAGTCCAAGGCCATCATACTCGAGGACTAACCTTTCGAACAAGTTCGAAAGGTTATCGGGAAACAAGTCCAAGAGACATACCCAAAGGCTACGGCCATATTAAAGGTTATGGCCATATTAAAGACTATAGTCATATAAAAAGGCTACGGCCTAAATAATGCGGCTCGGAGACGTCCGAATTCCGCCATAAAATTAAAGGCCTTCAAACACTTTGAGAAAACCGGTTAAATCAGGCTACCCTCGGCAAAAGCAAAAGATAAAGGGCTCCGATAAAATCAGCCCTCGAATAATTTAAAGGCTTCGATAACATCAGCCTTCGAAATAACCTCAAGAGGTATTCGATTATGTTTACATAAACAAATTACTAATAAGGTTCCAATACGTCGAACCTGCGAAAAACCCAACGGGTACAAAAAACACATGCTAAGGCATAGATAAATTTTCACTAAGTCTTTTAGCCGAAAAGAGGGAAAAATTATAGTCGCTTTAAAGGATGAATTGGCCCAACTTAAAGAGCCTAAGGGCCAATACAAAAGAGCCTAAGGGCCGATATAAAAGAGCCTAAGGGCCAAAACATATGGTGTTCGAGACCTTGCTCTCACTCAACTCGGACTCAAGAGTCCCGTTATCCCGAGCTCGTGCCAAATCAATTTAAGCATAGCTCGAAGACTAACAAAACCCTTAAGAGGTATTATATTCTAAGTTCGAGGATCACACGCTGATCACTAAAAAACCTAAAGGTTGTTATATTAAGAATCCGAGCCAAGGCTCGCTTGGTCATTGAAGTTATCAAAATTTTCACAAAATAAAGACAATACGGAATCGAAGATGAAGCAAAGAGATCCTTTTATATTTATAAGAGGGGCTTAAAGACATATTTTACAATACTCACGAGGGGTCCTTGCACAAAAACACAAAAACAAAATAAAGAAACCTAAATCTACTCCGGGGCCACATCTTCGGCAGCTGCATGTTCGGGAGCCGTGTCTTCGGGAACCTTCTCCTCGGGGACTTCATCTTCATCTCCTCCACTATCGGAGCCACTAGCTGAATCCTCCTCTTCAGAAAGCAAAACGGCAACCTCTTCTTCCAAAGTCTTTGCTTTTTCAATGTCGGCTGAGAGGTCGAAGCCACGAGCGTGCACCTCCTCGAGGGTTTCTCTTCGGGACTGTCGCCTGGCATGGTCGAGTGCACATGATAATTAACTTCAGCCACAACAGAGATCTCCTTTGCCCGAGTGTTAGCGGCTTCAGCGTCAGTTCGATACGAGGTGGCACCACCGTTTTACTTCTGGCCGGCCGCGATGATGAAGAGGTTGTTTTTATTTTTGGGGAATAAATTTAGATGTTTTAGCCATTATGGTTTGGAAATTCGAGAGAAGAGAAAAGGGTGATGATGAAGTAAGAACAAATTGCGAGAAGGGTGAACTCAGAAAGGTTGAAGGAGCTAATAAGATTTTGAGAACGATTTGAGAAGTAAAGTTTGCAAAATTGTGAAGTTGACCTATTTGTAGAAGTCGCTTAAGCGTATTGGGGAAGCCAAATAGCCGACCGTCAGCCGCCCCCAATTAATGACTTTGGGAACTGCACGAAAGCGACCTTTCAGTCACTTCAACCGCTGATATCACGAGATTGACATCAGGATCAAGGCGTCAGAGCATCGAAGATCAAATCGTTTCTTATCGACCTACTCTAAGAAACGCGGGGACTATCTGTATACGGTCAAAATCATATGCCTTCGATCTATAGGCTCGAGGGATCGTCTTAAGACCGAGTTCAGGCAAGGTTGAGTTCGAGCCCGATGGACCAGACTCGAGCTCGAAGATAGGATGCAATGCCCGAGGATCGAAGTACGATGAACACCGAAGCCGAGTATGCTCGACCCCGAAATATTGTCGTTATAGATTTCTAACAGTATGAGCGAGATTCCTGCCACGTCCCCAAAATCATGGCGCAAATCCCGGAATAGAATTATACGATTCCGTACTAGGCGGTTAGACATCTATCCCAATAAGATTTCTTAGTGTAAATGGAAATGTACCTTATTTAGGGTTCCCCTATTATATAAAGGGGACCCCAATCATTTGTAAACATCATCTAATCATTGGCAAAGAATATACTATCTTACTTTTCTAGCTCATTGTTCATCAGACTTGTCTTTTCTCTTTATTGTTCCTACTTTATTGTTCTTGGTTCATCTCAAGGTCACTAAGCTCGAGGTCGAAACTGCTTAAGTATACTGGTTTGATTCACTTATTTCTTTCATTTATACTTCATACTTCTTGATCATTAATTGGTATTGAACTAAATCACATATCTTTAAAACCACAAATCAAATTTAATTGTTACTCGTATTTTCGAGGTAAACACTAACCGCATCAACACTATCCAAATCACGCCTTCTGCGAATAATCAAAGCTGAGCAAAGAATTCATTTAGGTTTTTAAAAAAATCACCATTCATCCTTTTGCTACAATCCGAGAGGACTTGAGCACTATTGGAGGTATTATAAAGAAGAAGAAGAATCAATACACCAACCTTTGTCACAACCTTTGTAATATCAAAATGAATAAGCCATGAGTTATCAAACCAAAATTATTCTTATATAAATGAGTGTAATAAAATTAAAGAATTTAAAAGATGAAAATAGTTCTATTAACTGTTATTCACAACACACCGATCAAGAACCCAACTAGCACTATTGGAAAATGGCAGATTTTCAACCGCCAAAACGGTCGGAGTTCGGTCGGAAATCATGATAATTTCCGACCGAAGTGGTCGCAAATTTCAAAAGTACCAAATATTTCACGTTTCCGACCAAAGTGGTCGGAATTTACCGACTGAATCAGTCGTATTAAAACAAATAAAATAATTATTTATTTAAAATTAAATAATATAAATATATCATTTCCGACCGACTCGGACGGAAAATAATAATTAAAAATTAAATTTTATTTAATTTCCGACAGAATTCGTCGAAAACTATTGAATATTAATTGTTTTTTTTTAAATTTCCGACTGAATCAGTCGAAAATTAATAATTTAAAATTAATTTTTTATTTATTTTCCAACGGAATCCGTCGCAAACAATTGAATAATATATATTTTTTTAATTTTTTGACCGAATCGGTCGAAAATCTGGGAATTTATGGTTAAATCTGGGCAGCTGTCCGACTATTTTCGTCGGAATTTAGTCGGATTTTTGTATAAAATTGGGTAGATTTCTGCCCAATTTCGAGCTACACCACCTGTCAAACTATTACAATACAATAGTACCAACCAACAATACATTAACACAATATAAACCAACGATACATTAATACAATAATACTAACCAACAATACATTAACACAATCTAAACCAACAATACATTAACACAATATAAACCAACAATGCCAACCATTAACACAACTTATACCAACCATTAAATCTAACAATTTTGGGCATAAAAACATTCAAATAGTAGCCCGCATTCAAGTTTAAAAACAATACATAAAGTTGTCTCTCACAATCAAGTTTACCAATCAACCAAAACATCACAACTAAACTACAGCACATCAGATTCAGTTTGTTCATCCTCATCATCAGATAAATCATGCCCATGTTTTCTCATGAATTTTTGCATCTTAACAAATGTTCCGTATTGGGAGTCCAATTGTTGCTCCAAATCACGAATTTCCGACCTCATATCATCCATTTATTCTTGATTTTGAGAAGAAGATGAAGAATTGGCTAAGAGTGGGTTTGGATGACCTGTAGGTCGACGTACTCCTAGTCCGTAGACTCTGCCTTTGTTTACTCCACCCGCTGCCTCTGTCCACAACGAAGCCATTTCATCAGGTGTTGGTTGAGTTGAAAGATGCTGAGTTTGTTGCCATTCTTCCAACCTTTTATGATAATCTTCCTGAAATGAAAAACATAACTATTATGTAAACAAACTAATATTAATAAACCATAAATAATTATGAAGTTAGAATTTTACATATGTATGACGCACGCGTCTCCACCCGGTTTCTCTTGTACCATCCTTCTTCATTTTCTTATGCATCTCCTCGAAGACCTCAGCGTGACTCATATCTCGCTCTCTTTCCTTTTCCTTCATAACAAAAAGTATGAGTTAGACATTACAAACGTAAAATTCTATATGTAAAACTAAGAATATTTTTATAAGTACATCCCAATCTTAGTTTATGGGCAGCAAAAGTAATCGAACCTCCTGTGTGCAACGAGCCACCTTTACTAGAGGCATGGTTTGCCTTTGCTTGTTAACTCTTTGCCTGCCATTCTGGGGTATTCCATTTCTCAAGAAGTTTATCTCAAACATCTTCTCTTAACCAGTCCGATATTTTACCGGAATTTCGAGCAGCGAACATAGTATCTTTAATCCTAATACCAGCTTTCTTCTCGAAAATACTATTTATTTCATTTTGATGCTGAGGATGTCATGTACACTTTGTCTGCAATATAAAAAAGTAACATTAGATGAAGACGATAATTATTAAATAAATATAATTAATATATACCCTAAATTGATTCCACATTTCTTGTAGAGATGGACTTTAACTTCGTCTGATTTCAATAACTTAACACACTTACATTTCACACAAGGACACCTAATCCTTCCTCCAATAAGAAAATCATCAAGTGTTTGAGCCTTAGCAATAAATTCAGCAACCTCATTCAATAAATTCATCCCTCAACCCCGCACGATTAAGATGATTCCTATTATACATCCATCTACGATGCACAAATTCCATCTACACAAATAGAAATTTATAAATGAGATATTTAAACAGGTTACAAAGTTATACTCCTTCAAAGGATCCTTTTAGAAATATATATATATCACTGTGTCAAAGCACTTTAATTAATATATTTTATTTTTTAAATTAATATTTTTTAACACTCGAAATCTCATATTAATCCCTATTCTAAATAATATAAGTCTTTAAATATGCTAATTAAATTTGAATAGCATCTTAAATATTCATATAATCCAAATTAATTAATAATTTTGCAAATTTACAAATTAATCTTCATGTTGAAATTGAAAAAAATTAAATTTAATATCATTCTAAAAAGTGAATATAGAAATATTACTATATTATTTTATATGTTTCTTTGATTATAATTTTTGGAAAAATTAATCTTCATCGGTCATTTTCTCACTTTAAACAAATCATTATTTGTCTTGTGAAGTTGTAGGATTAAATAATTTTCTAATCTTTATGATAGGATTAAGCTAGTTTAATTAGCTTATAAGCTTAGCGAATTACTTATTTAGCATAAAATTTAAATTCGGGCTTATGAGGGGACATGTATTCTTAACATATTCTTGTTTAACCCAAAATTTCAACCATACCTAATTCAACATATTCTTCTCTCTTTGGATAATTAAGAGAAGCTTTAATTTCTTGAAAGCTAATCTTATCAATCAATTGTCGGGAGTAAGTTGCATTAATGTGCTAATTTGGCCCTCTCTCAATTTTCACAAAGAATATCTAGTCTAGGAGAAATAAATACTCCTAGGATGCTAAATTCTAACATCTGTCATATTGACATCAACAGAGTACAAATTTCAAATTGGACAATTATAGCAATCTACACTATATTTACTTTCTGACATATTTTTCAAAAGATTTGTAATTTGATCTATTGAGAGATTTTGAAAAAAAAAAGAAGAATATGAGTTCACGTCTTGGTCAAAGAGGGCGTTCGGTTACTTTCTTCTCTGAAAGAAAATCTTCCTTTTGAAGTTTAAAATATCTTTATTCCTTTTATTTTTTTATTTTGTAATCAAACAATGAGATTTCTAATACTTAATGTGGTTTAACGAAACACTTACCTCGACGAAAAAAATGCCGGAGAAGTCGACTGAGGAGCTGCTTCCGCCGACGACGAAGACCACTCTAGCTGCTGCAAAACAAAGTAAAAAAAANTTTATAATTTTTCGAGAAGTGGGCCCGGGGGCTCGGGTTTTGCCAACTTCGTGATTTTCGATGCTTTTCGAGTCTTTTCGATTGGGTTATATCCCCTTAGCCTATTGTAATGTATTCCTTGTGGTCTTGATCAGATTTGACGCATGATGAGGTCAATTCGAGAGGAAAAGGCATAGCGAGCTAGACTTTTGGGCCGGCTTGAGGTGAGTAATGGGTGTAAATGATGTACTGAGGGTTGGAGACCCCGGAATTTCACATCGTACCGCTATATTGAGGCGAGACACGCGCTCTATGACGAGTGCGGGGCTGTTGGTTACTGGGGATTGTGACTTGGTCCGTCCCGGTGATGTTTTACTGTTTTTCTACTAGAACTTGTTGGAAATCATCGTTATTTGGATTTGACTGTTGTATTTGGGCTTCGTGCCGGTTATTTGGATCCTTCAGGGATTGATTTCATTGATTTGCATACCTTGCACATTGTTTAACCTCATTCCAAGGTTTTAAGTACTATTTTTGCAAACTCAGCCCCTTTTTCTAAACTTGAAAATTCAAAGGATATTTTAAATGATATTTTGGGCTGTGGATTACTGATTTAAAAGTGCCCGAGGGGCTTATTGTGATTTCTGGATTTATGGATGGCTCGGGCTGCACGCCACAGCAGTACTATGTGATATTGAGGCCGAGGCCTGGTTAGTGCCATGAGATGGCTTATTTGCGCTTGGGCTGTAGGAGCCCCTCCGGAGTCTGTACACACTCCCAGTGAGCGCCGTCGACGTAAAATATATGGTTGGCTCAGGCTGCACGCCGCAGTGGGTACCTGAGTGTACCGGTATTTGCATTGCATTGCATCATTGCATCATTCCTTACTTGTTACCTGTCATGGTTCTTTCTGTACTATTACTTTATTGACTTGCCGGTCTCACTGTTAAAGGTTTGGTACTGCCCGTTATAGTTGCCTTGTGTTTCATTTTGTGATTTCTTATCTTCAGTTATTATTTATGCTTATTACTCACTGAGTCGGAGTACTCACTTTACTCCATGCACCTTGTGTGCAGATTTAGGTGCATCACAGTCTGAGGGAGGACCTGTCTAGCTGAGCAGCATTTCACCGGGAGCATCGAGGTAGCTGCATGGCGTTCGCAGCCTTGATCCTTCCCTCCTATCCCTATCTTTCATTATTCCGTTTCTTAGACAGTCTTGTTATAGGATGACACTCTGTATTAGAGGCTCGTAATCGTGACACCGGATCCTGTTTTGAGTTATGTTCTAGTATTTTTATTGGTTTTCAGTATACTACCCCGTGCTCATAGTAGTTTGATAAGATGGTTTAGTAATTTAGTATCTGTGCTCGAATTCCTGAATTATCATAAGTTGAGATTTGTTGTTGAATGGTCGGGCTTGCTTAACAATGTGTTGGGCGTCATCACGACCGGGGTTTGGGTCGTGACAAAGATTCCATAAACGGAGCTCACCGTCCCATGAACCGGAGAGTGCAAACCTGCCATTATATGAAAGGACGACGTCTTGGACGACATGGCCGTGGCCAGTGAGGCGACGGCGGGGGACGCCGTATTGTGGGCCGTCTTTTGTTAGTGACCAAACGATGATGGATTTGTCACGAGAAGATGTGATGATCATGTCGGAGTTGTCAATTGGGGTGGCGATGGCGGTGACCCAGTCAGTGTGGGCCCTCAATATGCCGCGGAGGACTAGTGATTCCGACATTTTGTCATACAGGTGGTGGTGGTGGTGTTGGCCTCGTCACTGTGTAGACTTTGGTGGCAGAAGTTTGTAGTATGATGATAGTGTAGAGAAACCCTAGGGTTTGAAGTGGATGAATTTATATTAGGGGTGTGCATTTGAATCGGTTTGTCGATAAATCGAATCGATTATTTGTTATCGAAATCGAAATCGAAAAAATCGAGACCTTATTGAAACGATAACGATAAGCATATGTACAAATCGATAATCGATAAGTAATTATCGATAAGGGTCAAAATCGAATCGATAAATCGAATGCACACCCCTAGACTGTAGACACTTGTTAAATGAGTAATTACCTATTTGTGTAGATTAATATAACATACAGAATGTATATATATTCCGCTACTATTTTGAAAGCGGCTATACAATATTATTTTCCCTAATCTATACCCTTTCCTTTACCCTAAGTCCCTTACCCTATTATTTCCTCTACCACATTTAAGGAATGATCATATTTAAAGATCAAGGGAATGAAGTTCAAATTAATGGAAAACAGAATTAGCCGTGATGATGTGTTTTGTTTTGTTTTGTTTTTCTTATACCGCTGGAGTGTTGGTGGCATACATTTGATCCCTTATTTTAGTTTTGTTGCATGTGCTTGTTGACACAATTTTTATATTATAAATGGTGTTCGTCTTATTTTAGCTTCTTTTTGTCCATATTAGTTAGGCGCGTTTATAGCGATATACTTTCCGTGGAATCCCGCAAATTTTCTTATTGGTGTAATCGATAACCGAATCGATAAGCCCCCATAATCGATAAATCGAAATCGAAAAAATCGAAACCTTATTGAAACGATAACGATAAGCATATGTACAAATCGATAATCGATAAGTAATTATTGATAAGGGTCAAAATCGAATCGATAAATCGAATGCACACCCCTGCTCGTGATCGCGAAAGGGAAATTGGGGCTGGGCGAAATTATTCTTCGCGAACGCAGGGACTAGGTCGCGAACGCAAAGTAGTTGGGGGCTTACCTTTTGCGAATGCGACCGTCCTCTCATGAACACGAAGAGTTATTGGGTCGGGGGGAAAGGCGAACTGATACTCTACGTGAACGCCGACCTTGGCTCGCGAACGCGAAGGCGAGGAGGGAGCTAAGCCTTCGCAAACGCGAAGGGTTAATCGCGAACGCATAGGCCATTTGTGCCGCTGTTCTTCGGGAACGCGTCAGGTGTTTTGCGAACGCGAAGAACACCTAATGCCCAATTATTATAAATAGCTGAAATTCAGGATTTTCATCATTTTTCACCCTCGCCTAGAGGTGATTTTGAAGAGATTTTTCATCCCAACTTCACTGGTTATTAAAGTTTAACTTGTTTTATTGCATTTTCATAAACATTCTTTGATTTTAACCTTTTATCTAGGATTATTCATGGTGAAAATTAGAGATTTGGGTAGAAATTGAGGATTTTGTAAAATTGAGATTTATACCTCATATTGAGGTCAGATTTCTAAACAAATCACATAACCGGGCTCGGGGTGAATGGATAATTAGATTTTGCTCCGAATCTCTGGTTTTGACCAAGCGAGCCTGGAGTTGATTTTTGTTGACTTTTTTCAAAATCATTAAAGATTGAATCTTTTTCACTCGTAGGTAGTTTCTAAAGGCTATTTTGAATTATTTTAAACTATATTAGACTAGATTTGATTGGTTTGGAGGCTAATTCTAGAGGAAAAGCCGTGGTTGAGCATTGATTTGGTTGCACAGTGAGCTAAGTGTCGTGATTAACCTTGACTTGAGGGA